ATGTGAATCACATTAATGACCAACCTGAGGACATGGTCTACGCCGGCTTAGGGTAGGAGTTGCTCTAGTTTTTTTTTTTTCTCTAGTTCTTCTTTCAAAAATTTCTCCTAAGCTCGGCTCTGTTGGCTTGCTCGACTATTAATACTTCAACTGAGGCTAGCTTGTCCTCGACTTAAGTGTGCTACTCAAGTTGGACTTAGAGGTCTTCCATGGTAGGCATCAGGTACTTGGTCAGAATGCCTTGACCTGCTTTTTCGGAGGTGGGCCATGCTTAAAAGGTACCACGACGAGTTGTTCGCTTCACATATTTTCTTTTAGATCATTGTATTACTCTCAATACCAATGTGCGTATTGTTGTAATGTCTTATTCTTCAAGTGGCTGAACAGCGAGTCTAGAAAAGGATACTTTGATTGTCAAGGCTTTATTCCCGTTCTAAAGTGACATCATCTATTGATAATGGTTGATGTGAATGAGGGATATGTTTCTTCATAGTATGGAATGAACTTCGGGGAGAGATTCTCTTTGAAAGCTCCAAAGCTTCAACTTCTAACGAGAACGATGAAGACACTACTTGATCTAGGGCATAATTTTCCTACTAGTGCTCCAGATCTCTTCTTGCGTGGTCAGCGCTCTAGATCTCTTGCTTCTAGGTCAACGCCTCTTCTCGCTGCTTCTGTTTAGGCATGCCTAGAGATCTGGGAGTTGTTTGTCATGATGAGTTGAGACCTCTAACAAGTGGTTGGCAGTCTTCTACTATTTGATGTTGGACCTTTGAAGGTCCTGTGCGACTTTAGACACCCTCATTATGCACCAGAGTCGATCGGCCAAAGTTGCTTTGGTCAAGACTATGGTTGATCATTTTTTATTACGACAGTTCAAGAGAAGGGTTCATCATTCTTTGCTGGGATGGTTCTCCACCAAACTTTCTTCATTCTACTAGCTTATCCATGAACTTTTTTAGCTGGGATCAGGGTTCTAAGGTCTATCCTTATTGAATCAATAATGTTGTCCTTGTAATTTCTCTCTAGATGGAAGTGGTGGGATGACTAGCTAGTAGTGACATGGCGGAGCTTCGCTATATCTGGAGTTCGTTCTTCCACGTTGGTTTTGTCCTCCGACACTCTCGGAAGTAATGGACCATTTTCTTTTGTCTTCTCCATCATCAAATTCCTTCTTTCCAATCTTGACAGAGGTATCTTCCTCGTTCCCATCGCCGGAGTTCGTTACAATGCAGTATGGTATTTATTATAAATGGCGCCAATTGTGTAGAGGTGATATTCACACTATTGAAGAGATGGAGTTTCATGGCTGAACTAGACTATTCGAGAATAGAGATCTACAAGACAGAGATTTGGTGAGGGTTGCTCAAAAAATCCCTTTGATGCTAAAGTGAAGGACTTGGATAGAATGAAGAGAAAGAGAGAGAGAGAGAGAGAGAGAGAGAGAGAGAGAGAGTGTGCGTGTGTGTATGAGAAAGAAGATGTTGGGTTTGTGTTTTGATTGAAAACGTGGTTCGTAACCACGTTTTCACATTTTGTTTAAATGTGTGATTATCAGCCACACTTTTTTTGATCAACAGTAAAAGCATGGTTCGAAACCACGTTTTCTGAAAAAAAATAAATTTTACTTAAAAGTGTGGTTTGTAACCACGCTTTTACTATTTCACAAATTTTCTGCGGGAGGGGCCTGGAAACAGTGAAAACATGGTTTGTAATAGCGCTTTAGCCTAGTTTGGGAATTTCGTCCAAACTAGGCCTAGTTTGGGAAATAAGTTGCTATTTTGACTTAGGGTTGGTTTGGGATGTCCTAAAAAAGTGCACTTTTTGACTTATTGGTGGGTTTGAGTTGGGTTTGGGTTGGGTTTGATGTGATGTGTTAGAGAGGTGATGTGATTTAAATAAGATGATGTGACTTAAATAAGATAGTGACTTTTTGACTTTTTGGCTTATTTAGTACATGCCAAACTAGCCCTTAATTTGGGAAAAGCCTCGAGTATCTAATTCTACTTCTGGATTAGTTTATACAAGAATCTTTGTGTATGTACTGTTTAGTTAATCCAAAGTTGAATCTATGGCGACCCATTTGGTTAATTGTGCTCTTGTTGATGTTCTATTGTCAATTTGATGATTTGGGTTTGGATTGGTTATGTATACCCTTTGTGTTTGCTGCGTTGACTTTGTTGCTGTGAGGTTCAGCTATGAAAATCTTTGTGAATTTGATTACTTTGATGTGAGGTTGTGCTTGGATGAGTTGTTAAATTGAACTATAATTCTCTTGATCTTGATGTGGATTAGATTTGGAATAAAGCTGTAAAGTTTGTAACATTTTGTGTTTTTGCTATTAGTGGATGTAGAATTTATTCCTTGTGAAACAGGGGCCTTTACCTTTATGATTCTTCTTTGTTTCATCTGTTCATCTTTATGTATGGTATCCATCTTCATATACCCCCTTTTCCTCATCTATATTTGCTTTTATTTTATGGTGTATGCTTTTGCACATAGTTTAATTTATAGGAACTAGTTTTTTTAACCTTTGAGTCTTCATTGTAACGACACCTATCAGGTTATGGTTAATATACACTACAGGCAATGAGTTAATAACAGTTTATGCTTATTTAGACAAATCACATAACATAAATATAAATTGGTGTGAATTTTTTGTACATCATATCCAACATGAACAATATACAAAGTGCAATAAGAAATGAAGTATCATAGGTATTAAAGCAATAATTTATATAAATTCACTTTAAATTCACTTTAAAGCAATAATTTATATATATATTCCTAGCTGATGGAAATTACAATGAATCTTTTCTTCTTACATGTAAATTCACTTCATTTGCTGTGCATAAATAATGATTAGATGGTTATGTGGAGCATCATGATTGGTAATAAAGCAATAATTTATATAAAAAGGGACCATAACCATAAGATTCTTTAGGCACATGTGATGTAAGTTAAGTTTTGTTTTTAATGTTATGATATCTTGTTAAGTTAAGTTTGTGTGTATTAGCTATGTGTGTACGTATCTTTGTGTGTTCAAGAGTATTTGTGTCTTTTGTGGGAGTAGCCAAGGCAAGCAGAGCAGCTATCAAGATGATGTCGAGCTTGGCAAGGAATTGGTATTGTTTTCATGAAACTTTAATGGCCCCTTTTTTCTCCGAGTTTTATGGTCTATTTATTTCAAATGGATTTATCTATTTTCTTGCATAGACTTTGTCACAAAATATTTTTTGCCTAATTTGACTTTGGTCTCTTGAAGGTTTCAAGGAACATTGATCTGGTGTATGGAGGAGATAGCATAGACCTCATGGGTTTGTAAATGGTAATTGTTTAATCCTATAGAAAAGTTGGTGGCTGTACATTTCTGACGTCTTTTTCTTCACAAATGAAAGTTCTGCATCTAGTTTTTGCTAATTTATTTTATCTTATTTTTGGGATTGGAGTAGGTAAGATTTTGAGCTCTGCATAAAAAGCACTTTTCCTCCATGGTGACCAATCCACTCTGCCATAGGAAAACAAACAGTATACCAATCCACTCTCACGGTATATATAATCCGATCCAATACTAATCCCATCCATAAACTCTAATCCGGCAATCAAACGTGGCATTAAAGGTTTAGTACACCCTACATCTAATGGAAATAAGATTTGTATTATTGATTTTTTTTCTTCATTATGTTAACCACTGAAAAGTTTGGTTAAACTTAGTAGTTCCATGAATGTTACCACCAGGAATGGATTCACATTAATCATAAGTTCCTTGCCAATAGCATAAAATACTCATAGTGGCATATGGTTTATGCAGGTCATGAGGAGAATTTTACTGGTTTTCAATTGTAATCCTGCATGCTGCATTTGTCATTTGCTATTCTTATGTTGATTTTTTTCTTCTTTTTAAATTACACTAAGATATTTATGGTCTGTATCATTCAACTCGTTGTGCACATTTGCAGATCCTCTCTGCAACAACACTTCTGGGGGCTGCATTTTGCTTTGCCGCCTTCTGTTTTAAGAGCCTCTATGTTTTCGTAGCTCTTTTCTCTGTTGGTGAACTACTTGTCTTCGCCACTCAGGTATTTTATTTATTAAAGGAAAGATGTTATTACCTTATACCTAACCAAGCTGTCAGCATATATACAACAAAAAAACAAAATAAAAGTGATACCAAAAGTATGCAGCATATATATATATGTGTGTGTGTGTGTTAAAACATGCAAAAACAAAGACTATGCAAGCACAAGTTAAAAAGCAGCCCAAGTAAGAATGTAGAAATAAGATAATCAACTTAGGCTGTTTGGTATATTATCTGGAGATTAAAAATACAGTTTGGGGTGAGGCAATACTGGTTTATAGGTTGACCAAATTCCACTTCATGGCTAATAGTGGGTGACTCTTATGTTATAATATTCCCAACTTTTCATCTAGAGCCAAACACACTCCTATGTTAAACTCCATTTAGGATATCTAAATCCAACTCCAAACTTGATAGTAGGTGTGACCAAACACCCCATTTCAACACAAAAAAAAAAAAGAAAAAAGAAAAGAGAAGTGCAGATTTTTTTTCTTCTTCATTGTCTTCATTCATCCTTCTCTAACTTCTCTCTACATTCCCTCTCATTTTTTCCTTTACCTTCTTGGTGGCCAAACACCACACCCTTGCTCCACCCTTACACCACCACCTTAACCCACCATCTCCACCACCGCCGGTCACCTTATCTCGCCGGAAAAAGGGTCCGGTCGGCCACTCGTTAAATCCATCCGAAAATAGCACAATAGAAGTACCAACTCTAGATTTTTCTTAATCTTTTGAAGAATCAAAGCATGGGGTTTATTTTCTTGATGGATTAGAGGCTTGTAATTGGTAAGAATCTTTCTCTAAAAGTTTAGTTTAAAGTTTTACATATTTTAAGTTAGAGATGATGAAATTTTTTTGTATTTTAAATCTATTATGATTTGGGGTTTGATTGTTGAATTTTATACTCTCAATTAGTTTCTATGACTGTTTTACATGTTGAAAAATGATCAATTTGATGGTTGTTTTGGAGATTAAGATTTTGGGTTAATCTAGGGTTTGAATGTGATGTTAAAATTGGAGATTTTGGTGTTAGGAAATTTATATGTTGAAATTGATTTGATAAATGGTGGATTGGGTATCTCTATGTTCTATGGAGGAATTTTATAAATGATTGAAGAGATTTTACTTAAGTTGTTGAGTTTATAAAAAATGTTGATTTTTGACTTTTGTAGTTAATTGATGGTGGTATTGCGCATATAAATTGATTGGATATTTGAAAAGTTACTAACTCAAAGATGTGCAAAGGATGGGTGTTGTGGAGATTGGATAAGTTATTTGTTTGGGTGACTTGAAGTTGGAGGAGTTTTTTAGCTTATCATTTCTTAGCATAATTTATTTAGGATCATTTTTTGTAGATGTTGTAATTTTCATTGAAAGCTTTTTCCTAATTTTAGGTCCTATTTATTACTTGTTAGGATTGGAGGAAGGCGTCTCTACGCCTCTTGGGAATTAATTTGTAGAGTCTCAATCTACACTTTTGCTATTTTTGGAGGTGAGTATACTTACCATGAAAATTACCTTACCTCTATCTTTATTACAAAGTTTGAAGATAATTTTGAATTAAAGGAAGCGAATGATACATTTCATCATGATATATGTATAAAAAGAAAAATCTATAAATCTATAAATCTATTGAGGCCAATGGTTGAGTTTAAATAAATATATGATTTCATTTGTATAATGAAGCACTAATTTTTATGAGAATTTATTTAACTTGAGTCCTTCAAATTTTATGATGATGATGATTGAATGACAATGAAACGCTATTTGAGGGTATTTATTTTATTGATCATATAACCGAATATAGCCTTCGGGGCCACAAAGGCCAAAATGCTTTGGGGTCCTGGGGACCGAAATGTTTTAAGGACCATAAGGGTCGTTGTATGTATAAGGGGTCCCGGGGACCGAAACATTGAAACAAGAATTGAAGCGCTACGATGACATGAGTTATGTTCCTATGGTTATGTTTTGGGTATCGGTACCGTCACCACCTAAGTCGCGAGGTAACGCGACCCTAAGACTATGTAGTGGTTCGTATGATGGACCTGAGATCTTAATGTATTGAAAAGTTGTATTTTTGTTTACTTTCATTATTCAAATGTATTTTTTTTTTTTTTTCCTTATGAGATTCCTTGGAAAAATCTTGATAACGTTTTATGAAAATTATATTTGATCTTTTTATTTTTATTTTGTATAAATTTCAGTCCAATTAAGCTCTTATGTTTATTATCTTTATTTTGAACCCAATTGGAAGGAGCAAGTTTTATAACTCCATGGTATTGGTATACTCATTGAGCTTTAGCTCATTCTTTTTAAATAATTTTTTTTTCAGATTCATAGACTTTTGTGTGGCTCGCCTCAACTTGGAAGACTAGAATTTTTTTTGAAAGATCAAAGGTGGGCATTTTGTAGTTGAGGTTTTGCTTAGGGTCATTCTAGGATGTAAGTCTACCTTTTATTTTATTTTTTTTATGAAGGAGGTTGATTGTAAATAATTGCTCATGAAGTTGGATGTATTGATGGATTCGTGAATAGCATGTATTATTTTTGGGGAGGAAATGCTAGGGAACTATCTTGTAGCATGATAATACTTTTTGTCTTTGAATAGATCATCTCATACATGTTGGGCAATTGAAAGGTCTTATGCACTTTTGGTGATGTGGTGATGTGATGTAAGGATTAAACAGGAATTGTGGTGTAAAGGTGCTATAGCGTTTGAGGTGCACCCTCTTGGCGGGGTTTTGCCTTGCCAAGATTGGGTCGTTACGTATGTAGTTATTTGTTTTTAACTCTCCCAATCTTCTCCTCATTTGGCATCTATACTAAATCAAATGGTGGCATGCATTGTTCATTCTATTAATAATGTTTAATTATTTAAGATCCTTATATGGCTTTGCCTAATACTCTTATGTTTGTGCTAATGTGAGCAAGACAATAAGCATCTACATATGCCCGGAATTCTGAAGACAATTGGTAATAACGTTTTATACATTCACTGTTGCAGGGTCCGGTGAATTACGTATGTCTCCATTGTGTTAAACCAAGTATGGCTATGTTTATCGTCGCGATTCACATACTCGGTGATGTGCCTTTCTCTCCATTTGTTTCCAAATGACCCTATAATCGACTATTTTCCCTCTTTTTCCTGATGATATCCCTTTTCGTCTATTGCATGAAATGCTTTGGGTTACTTTGGGCATGTTCTGTTTTGTTTTGTTTTCGTTTTCTTCATTTTTTTTTTCCATTCTTGAAATAAAATGAAAAGTTTAGAAGTGTCTATCATCTTCATTCCGTATTGTGTGACAACCATTTTCAAAAATTTAATTAAAATTTGGATTTTTTTCAAAAAATTTCCCGAAAACACAAGTTTGTGTTTTTAGAAAATCAATACGTAAAACAAGAACAGGCCATACTTCGGCCTCACCTTTTTCTCCTCCCTGTTAGGTATTCTACCTAATAATTCACACGAGTGAATATGAACGAAGAGAAATTTTCTTCACAAATCACCCAACCCAAACGACTGTGATTGGTAATCCCTAAGGTTATGATGATCATTGATAACCATAGATCTTACCAAGCTAGCAAGTTTTCAACGTCCACGTGTCAACCGGCAGTACTTTTGCGTTATCCATGTGTGTACTTTGGCAGGGATCTTTATAAGATTTCACAAAGCTGTTGAGCATCCTAATCTTTATAAGGTTAGCAAAATCAAAACCCCTCCCCTTGTGCTACTCTTTTTTCTCTCCTTTCATTCTGGTGAATGATATTAAACTTGTTATTTTATGGTGAAAAATATATTATTTTATTTATTTTTTAAATGTTCATTTCATCACTAGTGCTTTAATGATTTGTGCGTGTGTGTGTCAATAGGTTCAAAAAGATAAGCAAACTTGAGGATTGTATTACTGCATTGTTCTCCATCTTGAACCTCCCTGCTGTGTTATGATGTGATTAATTTAGATGTTAGTATGATAGCCTTGTCAGACTCTTTATCTCATGGCCAAGAACCAACTATAGTTCTATGAGAATGACTTACTCTTACTTTGCAACCAAAGGTATCAAATATTGTTTCTTTTCCCTTCAATACTATCCCAATTTTGCAAGAACGGTAATCAAATTCATCATTTTATATATAATTGTAGAACCTCCTAGTATTTGCTTCTTGATGGTTAATAGATTTGGCCACTGTTTTTAATGCTTGACCTTGAAACAGTGTACATAAAATTTTCTTGTTAGTGCTTCTTCAAGTTTTAAGTACAGTACATAAGTATTGGGTACAAAATTTATGTTTATTTTGGTGAATCTGATTGCAGTTTATGTTCTGATGCAGGCATGTAAACCAATGAAGACTAGCAATAAACTCTCTCATCAATTTGAATTTAACTCATTCAAGCTTGAAATTTATGTTATAAGCAGAAATAGATTTTTGAAACACAATCTAGTAAAGTTAAGTGGGTGTTTGGAAAGTTGCTATTTTAGTAGGGTGTTTTAGTTTTTGACTATTTTAGTAGGTTAAAATTTTTGTATTTGGGAAGATAGTTGGATTTTTTTGTTATTGGATATGATGTTTGTGAGAGAAAAAGTAAAATGATTATGGATTTGATATGATATTTTATCTTATTGGCTATTTTAGTCTATTTTGTCATTTTGTGAATTTTAGTCCAAAAAGTCAAAAAAAAGCCTTTGCCAAACTAGTATTAAATAGAGTCTCTTACTCTGGTGATATCTTTGAGTTGGGGATAATTTTCTTAGTAGTAATTTACCATCTCTTGTATAGTTGGATCCATCATTATAGCCCACACTTCTTTCTCTGTTAATGTCTTTGCTAAAACAGGATTTGTGAATATGTTATTTTGTGATTAATGGTGATTGGATATTAAATTGAATGGGAGTTATGATTATTTTTTTTGATAAATAAATTTGAATGGAAGTTATTATTTCATGTTAATGCTATTGTTTAATTTTATTATAGGTATTTTTTTAGTTCAATCACATAAAATTAGCACAATTTAAAAATATATATATATATATATATCACGGCGTTTCTAAAAACGCCACTATCATACGGATTTTTTTAAATAAAAAAAGATATGACGGCGTCTTAAAAGGGTCGTTAAAATTATAGTGACGTCATAGTACTGTTAGGGTAGGACATTTGGCGACGTTTTTAAAAACATCGCCTATACTAGTATAACGACGTTTTTCAAACGTTACAAAGCTATAGCAATGGCTGTGTTGTCGGCATTTGGAACTAAACATCACAAAAAGAATTAGCAACATTTTTTGTGTCTATAGCGGCATTTTTTAAACGCCGCTAAATGTAGATTTTCCAGTAGTGCACCAAATGAATTGTTGTTGAGTGCTGTTATTTGAAGCTGGAACAAGTGACCCAACTCTTGGGGGATTGGGCCATGGAAGCTTAAATGTAGATTTTCCAGTAATGCACCAAATGAATTGTTGTTGAGTGCCATTATTTGAAGCCGGAACAAGCGACCCAACTCTTGGGGGATTGGGCCATGGAAGCTATTGTTTTCAAGAACGAGGCTCTTAAGGAAGGAGAGGCTTTCTATATGAGGTGAGAGCGATCCAACCAGACCTTGGGACTTTAGAGTTATCCTAATAACTCAATCAGGATGTCGACGATTACATAAAATGCCGTTCCAAAGACAGTAGTGGACTGAATGATTCCAGGAAGTGAGGGCACCAAATGGGTCTTCATCTATTGCTGCCTTGAATGCCACCAATGCAACTCTATCTGTTTCATTTACCATGGAAGTGGCTGCAGGGATGTTGCACAACAAGTAACACCACCACACAAGTGCAGTGTAGAGTATAACAAGCAACTTTGCCATACTTTTTTTTTTTTTATGATGAATCGATTTTTTTTTTAATTTTTATGTGGGTGGTATATATCTATATAATATGGGAAAAGGGTTTTTGAATTTATAGTAAAGACAATTGTCCTACTAGGACATTTGAATGGTGAAGATTCATTTGTCTATTTACATAAATGGCTGAGATTATCCCTTAAATATATAGCAATATATACCTACACTTACTTCCCGCCCAAAGAAAGAGTGAAATTCCTACTTACCCATGTCTCCCTCTATTCTATCTTTATCTCTCTCTACTCGCCTTCTCGCTTGCCCACGTCTCCCCTCCTTTCTATCTTTATCCCTCTCCCTTCTCTGTTCTCATCAGTTTGTTCTTGCGATCAGATTGTAACTGACGCTCGTCTTCATCACAAGGTATTCGTGTCCTCCTCCCTCTCTGTTGAATTTTTTCCCCCGAAATACAATCAATTTCTAAATGATCAAGAACAGATTAAATGGGATCAGATTGTAGAAACTGATTAAATCAGAAACTGAATGTCAATCAATTCCACTTTAATCAGTTTGTTCTTGCGATCAGATTGCGCCACCGCTCATCATCACCACTCGCAAGGTTCTCTCTCTCCCACCCTCGATTGTTCCCTTCGCATGGTAATTTTGGTCTCACTCTGTTGTATTTCACATTCGGAGGAAATAGGTTATGCTCTAGGGTTTTTCTTTGTCAATTTTCTTCAAGTTTTGACAATTTTCTTTAGATCTAACTACAATTTGTATCCCGAATCACGATCTGCTCCAAAATTGAATTCTGAAATCGTGATTTCCCTTCAAATTGAAATTCTATTTTCTCCTCTTCATAACGTTTCTGATTCAAAATTGCCTTTTTGTACCAGTTTACAAATGTTCACTTTAATCAGTTTAAATGGGAGCAGATTGTAGAAACTGATTAAATCAGAAAATACTCGGTATTAGAGAAAAGATTGATACTTGGCAAGAACAGATTAATCCCATTTAAGTGAATCAATCTGCAGAAACTGATTCAATTTTACTTTAATCAGTTTGTTCTTGCGATCAAATTGTATCTTTAATCAGTTTCTGAATGAAAATAATCGGTATGCCTTAAGTATGAACATATTACTGGGATGATAACTTTGGTCTCCATTAGCTCTAATGTAGCCCAGTTATGGTGTTTCTTACTGATACAATCTGCAAAATTTGGAACCAATTAATTTTATTTAGCCTTTCTGCACATCCATTTTCGGGATAAAAAAAAATAATTGTTTTACAGAGGGGTAATTTTATTCTTTATATATTACAAAAAAAATAAGATAAATTCAAATTCATATGAATTATTAGAACAATAATAATTGAAAAACAATAAAAATAAATAACTTAACAACGTCCAAACTTTCCATGTCAAAACAACCTTCTTAGTAACATTGTTGTTAATGAGCACAAGCACATTCAGCACACAACTACTAAAAACAAGTAGCTAAAAGAGGAATATTACCGAGTCAAGAAACAGAGGCTGATCGCCTTCCAAGAAGATTTGGTTTCCATGGATTTGTAACTTTTTTTTCCTTTATATATTGTTTCTATTGGTAAGACAAATAACTAGAATTTCCCAGAATTGTTTTCTTAGTTGAAATTAGTAGATTGCTTGGCTTAAAATTCTTCTTGTACAAAAAAATTGCAGGTTATTAACGATAGGTTTGGCATTGTTGAGGGTCTTATGACCACTGTTCACTCCATTACCGGTTAGTGGTGGCTGTTTGGTTGTTTTCATGGTTAATTGGTTATGTTTCTGCTTTGAATTATGAATTGTGATGTTGATCTTAATGTGTTTTCTATTGAATTGTTATGCAGCCACTCAAAAGACTGGTGACGGGCCATCAAGCAAAGACTGGAGAGGTGGAAGAGCTGCTTCCTTTAACATTATTCCCAGCAGCACTGGAGCTGCCAAGGTAGTTATTGAATTATGCAACGATAATGTTGATAGATGTAAAATTGTTGTCTGTATTTGATTTGATTTGATACAGTTTGATTCCTTGACATTGTCTTGGATGGGAACTCTGTATTTTGTTTGTAGTTTACTCCTGATAGTATATGTTTCGTGGTCTTGTGGCCTTCCGAGTTCCAACTGTGGATGTTTCAGTTGTGGACCTCACTGTGAGGCTTGAGAAGGTAGCTACAAACCAGCAAGTCAAAGATGCTATCAAGTGAGTATTTAGATTTCCTTCAGATTCACCTCATTATGCAGTATATTAGATTGGCAAATTGAGATTTGCATAGTTTTATGAAATTTCTTTGGCTGCCAACTCTTGATTAGCATGTGACGAGGTCTCTTATTCTCTCTTGGTTAATTTCAAGGAGGAATCTGAGGGCAAACTCAAGGGTATTTTGGGGTTCACCGAAGACGATGTGGTCTCCACTAACTTCATAGGGGACAGCAGGTAGATTGTTATACTATTTACCGTCTTAATACTCTAGCTGATTGTGTTACTTAACAGTTAAATGTCGTGAATTTGAAATATAAAACAAAAAACAGAAAAGAGGATAGGAAATGGAAGCGTTACCAAATGACAATTGTTGTTGAATATTGTGTGTTTCGTGAGGAGTTTTGTGAGAATTACAAAATTTTATAATAAATTTGTGAATTTATCAAATTAAAAAATAAAGTTAAATAGTGTTAGGATTACAATTGTATTCTAATGTTAACATTATTTACACCGTGCCTTCAGGCATGGGCATACGCTAGTACTATTCATAATCTGAAAATTCCGGACGTGAACCATTCAAATTTAAAAAAAAAGGAAAAAGAAAGCTAGTTGAAACAGAGAAAAAGACCTGGATGAAATTTACAAGATGGCAATTGGATGGTGGACCAAGACCAGTGTAAGAAAAAATCAATTAAATGCTAAAATTTTAGACATGTGAGGCCTATTACTTGACCCGAGACTTACTTAATATGATCAAGACGGCAATTGGATGGTGGACCAAGATCAGTGTGTGTCCCTATCTTCAAAGGAAAAATCAATTATATGCTAGAAATTTTGCACACGTGGGACCTATTACTTGACCCGTGACTTACTTAATATTGTGTCTAGGTTAGTATACTAGTTAATATTTCTAATATTATTGACTTTTTTTTTTTTTGATCAGCAAAGAAAATCCTTTATTGATGAAGAAAACATACATTACATATGAGATAACATCAACAAGGAAGAGAAAGAAAAAAGGACAAGAAAAGAAACAGAGCATAGTGTTGGTGAGAAACCAACACTAGTTTACAAGACCACAAACACTTGAAGCCAAAACCCAAAAACTAGCTAACAAAGCTTATACCCACTAAAAACGCCAGCTAAGCTTACTTGAAGCCATCGTTCAACCTTTTAAGGCCAAACCCTCCTATTCGGATCTCTCTTTGTCCTTTAGCTCTAGCTCAATAATCTTGTTTAGCACATCATCTTCTTTCTCATTGAAATTGATGCCAAGAGATTTACCTAATTGGTATCAATCTTGAAGTAGATTTGGCACAAGCTCTTAGTAAGAATCTAAATAAGAAGGGTCTTTTGAGCCTTAATCAGCCAGGCTTAGTTAGGCAACCTGCTTCTATCCCAAAACTCCTACGGAATGAGAAGAGAAAAAGAAAGAAGAAGGTTCAACTTGCGGGGTTCACCGGCTTTGCTAGACTTCATGGGCACCAAGCTGCGGCAGTCAGCAAGCACACTTCTAGGTCTGTCATTTTCAAACCAGCTGCAGTTGCGATTGCACGTTCAGATCTGTCTGAGGGTGTTACTAGCTGCGATTGAACAAGAAAGATGTGTGTGGTTGAGGTGTTATGGCATTCCCTTAAATCTATGGAATAGAGGTACACTCAACAACATTGGAAGCATGTGGGGTACTGTCCTTAATGTGGATGGTGATATTTGTCAACCTAAGTCCTTCTCCTACACCAGAATCAGAGTGGCTACATCTTGTATGGAGTATATTAACAAAACTATATCTTTGGATTGCAAGGGTAAATTATACCCCATTCTTGTGTGTGAAGATCTTTCAGTAGATTTTAGTAGCTTGAAGCGCAATGGTTTGGAAGAGTGCAGCTCCAACGAAATCTGTGGCAGTGTTGTGGAAAGAACAAGTCCAGAGGAGTGTTCTAGAGAGAAGAAGGTTGACCATGTGATAGAGGTAAACACAGTTGTTGAGGAGTCAAAGTGGGATGATGGGTTCATCAGAGAAGAGAAAGTATGTAGCATGGAGATAGATCAGAGGTCAAGGTCTAATGATTGTCATTTGGGCGAGGAGGTAAACACAATTATCGAGGAGACCATATTGGAGGAGTTAGTACACAGTCCTAATTTTGTTGTTGAGCAAGTATCTACTCCTTCAGCTATGGATGCCAAAACGCTGTTCAAACTCTTCTCACAGTTTGGCATTGTAAAGAATCTCTTTATTCCGTTCAGAAGAAGGACTGTGTCAAAGTCAAGATTTGGATTTGTGAGATTTAATTGCCCTGTTGCAACAGACATTGCCATCCAAAAAGGGAATGGTCTACTGGTAGAAGAAAAGGTGCTAGAAGTTAAAAAAGCTACCAAGGGTAGCTGCATCAGATTTGAGCAGAGCAGGAGAGAACACCATTCCATCAACAGACCTCCTGAATCTATCAGTTTCAGGACTGAAGTTCCATATTCAGGCCAAAGATCATTCACTGAAGTATTGAAAGGGGCCACACTCACTGGGGCTAGGAAAGAAAGCTTGTCCATTAAAGCCAATGAAGAGGATCTTGGATGGCTCCAAGGTAGTGTAATAGTCAGATTTAATTCTGAATTCTCTACTACTAACATTGGAAATGTCTTGAAGGAGAAAGGTTTGGATCATGTAATGGTCAGAAAAGGGGGTGGTCGAGATATAGTTCTAACATTCAAATCTCAAGAGGAGATGAAATCAAATATTATGATGAAATTTACAAGACAACAATTGGATGGTGGACCAAGATCAGTGTCCCTATCTTCTAAAAAAAATCAATTATATGCTAGAAATTTTACACATGTGGGACCTATTACTTGACCCGTGACTTAATATTGTGTCTAGGTTAGTATACTAGTTAGTGTTTCTAATATTATTGAAAAACGGGTTGAGTTTGCCTCCGGTCCATGATTTGGACTAGAGAGTGTTATTTGGGCCTGTGATATTTATTACGGGTCTCGTTTCGATAATCCGAATTATTCATTTTATAAGGTTTTTCTTTTTTGTCGTCCATTAAAAAAATAGATTAATCGAATAACCGTAAGGTTTTATTATATTTGTCATTCATTTTTTGCTAAACAAATATGATAAAATGAATAAGTTACAATTATCATATCGACTTAATTTTCTTTTATGAACGATATATACGAAGGATCTTACCAAAGAAATAATTTGAATTATCGAAACAGAACCTGTAATGATTTTCACGAGTCCAAATAATATCCAAATGAGTACCGAAAGTAAGCCCAACCCTTTGGGGAAAAAAATTGCTATATGAAACATGAATGCGTCAACTGTAGCGTGTCTTTGGGTCCTGATTTATTGCAACATTAAAAAGCAATCAATTCAAACAGATGGATTGGAACCTCCACGGAAAAGAGGGGAAAAAAAAAAAAAAGAAGTAGAGTTATCATTCTGAAAAATTATTCCAAATTAAAGCTAACCTTATTAGAACATCTCAAATGCTTCATCAAATTTTTTATTAAATTTAAGTAAAAAAATTGGTAAAAAGTTTGATTTGATATGATGCACTCCAACGATGAAGCATAAGTTTTCATTAATTCGGCCAGTCGTCTGGCCGGTTATCCTATCAATCATCCAGTAAAGAGTAAATTTATATCAAATCTTTTTACAAAATTCCTATTTTATCCCAAAACCCAATTGTCTAGCCAGTCGTCCACCAAAAGCTACCTGCAAAATTTGATAAAATGGTAAAAACTCCCTTGATTTAATAAAAAATATAGTGCTCTCTTCATTTGATATCAATCACCGTTTTCATCAATTTTTTATCAAATTTAAATTTGATGAAACATTTAATGAAAGATTGGAGATGGCCTTATGTATAACCATTTCTTTTCTTCCTTTTTTTTTTTTTTTTTTTTTTTTTTTTAGCTTCAATTAGCCAAGTTTTAAGTATTTGGAATTAATCAATAACTTTTGTTATTCACAAAATGATTGTTTTACAGCGTTAAACCAAGATTGGGGGAATAAATAAACCTTGCTATGATTTTTTTTTTTTCATTTTTTTTTTTTTTGGAATGAATCAGGCATTTACATATGATGGTGTGCGAGTGTGCAATGTGTACATATAATTTGAAATTTCCTAACTATAGCTAGGTGTTGACAATATAAATTATTTTTCTATCAATTGTGATATGTCGATTGTAACTAAATCTAATCTTATTGTAAGAGGAGCTAATTTAAGCCCACTAAATTATTTAGGCCCAATAGCCCAAGATTAGTGGGCCCGAATTTATCGCAAGTCCAAGATTGGTGGGCTTGGATTTATCGCCGTCAAACGGGCTGAATGGCTCTAAGCCTCGAAAGGGTTCGAATCCACGAACCTAGAGACTTACTCGGGCCCGGACTCGAAAGGGTATTAAGCAAGCCTAGAGATCCGAGGCACTCGGACTCGAAAGGATTCGGATCCACGAATCTAGAGATCCGAAGTACTTGGCTTCGAACGGATTCAGACGCAATCTAGAAGTCGCTCCGTTAATGAGTCCCAGAACACTTGCGGGCTCGGAGCTTTCCGGGATCTACGCACCAGAACCATGGGCGTAATGGAGTTCGAACAAAGGACCCGATCCCGAGGACGGTGAGTGCAGATAAATTCACTCTTCGGTTACACTAGCCTATACCCGGGTCGAGGTGGCACGACCCCGGGGGGTCCATGAGACTCGGCAATATTTTGCGGCAGGACGTCCTCTGGGACTACCCCTGACCCTTTGGGATGATTAGGGATCATTAGTGAGATTGTGCAAAAAAGAAGGGTTCGTTGAGAGGTTGACCTCCTCTTCGAGGGTTTTCCTCATCCTCGGAGAGGTCACCTCCTCGGACAAAGTGGTTAGAGAGAATATCCCCCATGTGCCTTGCACATGGGCTCCACCAGAGTACCAGACTATTTTAGTATTTTGGATTCTGTTTTATGAGTTGCTATTTTTCACTGAACAATAGAAGAAATAAAATTTCTG